ATAGATTTTTCCACGCGCAGTATTAAGTACCATGTACTAGGTAGAAAGAGAAGAGGAGGGCCGCTAGGCTTGCAAGTGTACAGTGCCGCCGCTACTTACGTATGTATATACATAGTAGGATCTAAGAAGGAATGTCGCTCACGCCTGACCACCACCTCCCATGGCCTGCCCCGCTGCTCAACGTTCAACGCTCACTGGAGCCAGTGTCCGCACTGCCTGGATTACGATGCCAATCTTGGATGATGCATTGACGAATTTGACGCATCGTTGGGCGTTCAGCTCATCATTTGCAAATACGTGCTATAGCCGGTGATCCTTTCCTCCGCTGCACGCCGCACTCGGGGCGCTGTTGCATCGCCAACGAGCTTGTTTGTGTTCGTCTCAGTCTATCTTTCCACTTCTCCTTCTCACTTTTCGTTCCTAGGCAGCCTCTGGACGCCGGCACCGCTCTGTCGCAGGCTCGAGGCTGGAGATGACAGACCTGGTCACCGTCGACGACCTGGCCTACGACCAGATTCAGTACTCGAACTCTGAGGCTCTCTTTTGGAATGCCATCAATCTCCCGGATGACCCCAACGCCTGGAATGGTGGTGTGCAGGAAGCGACGCAGGCAGGTCTGTCCATACAGTTCTCCTTCACTGGTGCGCCTTCCCTTCCCATTTCATCACCGACCACTTCATCTCATGAGTCTCGCGCCAGGCTCGCAGATATCCGTCTACGGTCGCGTTGTCCCTGGCGTTGGCGGAGCTCAGCAGCCGCTCTCTCTGTACAGCGTCGGTTCCCAGAAGCTGCAAGCCTTCATTCCCGACGACGTGACCCAGGCGACGGACAACGTCGCTTTCTTCAACTCAACTGTCATGCCTTACGGCCAGTATACGATTGTTGTCAATGTTACACGTGTAGACGCGGACGCCCCGTACTTCTTCGACTACTTCCGGTACAACACGAGCAGTCCCGCCGCCGCCGGGTCATCAAGGAGCACAAGCATTTCAACTACTGGCACAACGACGGGAACGAGTTCGGCCAGCGGGACCCAGATAGGGTCAAGCAATGCATCGTCTTCGTCTTCGCCGCCGATTGGTGCGATTGTGGGTGGAGTGCTGGGAGGGGTCGCCGTGCTGGCTGCAGCGGTATTTGCGTTCTTCTGTTACCGGATACGCAAACGGAAATCGAAGATTTTCCTCTCGCCGAACGGCGAGAAGATGTGTACGTCCTCCATCGTATCTCATAATGTCTTTCCCTTATGTCTGCTGTAGCACCTACCTCCGTTACGCCATATATCCTCCCCGAGGGTGCAGGGTCGCAAGCCCCCTTCAGAGACATCCCCTCCCTTCCCGCCGGAGCTCCCTCAATGGGCCAGTACGGTAGTACGCATTCGCTCGGGACAGCAGCACCCAGTGATCATCGCTCCAGCAAAGCCGCAATGGCGCGTCAAGAGCGCTACCTCCACCCGCCCGGCGGGCCCTCAGGCTCGTCACCATACGTCGACGAATACCTCGGCGCGCCTGGATCCTCAGTCCACAGCCCGTCGTCCCACTCATCGTCGCACCCATCCTCCCGCTCGCACACCCACTCGAACCACACCCCACAATCTACTCTACGCGAATTGCCAACCTTCGCACCACGGAGCAAAGCACACGCAAAGGGCACGCGATCCGAGAGTGCTGGTCTCCTTGGCGCGACGACCTCGGGACCGTCCTCGCCGACAACACCCCACCGGAACGCGCGTCAACCGCAAGACTCGGGATTACGCTTCGAGTCGGGCGTGACTCCGTCCGCCGTCGCGCCCGTGCTGCCTCCTGGAGCGGCGCCTGGGCCAATACGGAGTGCGGGGACGATGTCGGAGGTTGCACGGGCGGACGTCCCCCCTGCCTATACCCCGGATTGATTCGGGCTCTACGTCTCGCACATGCGTCTCTGTTGCTTTGGATTTCTCTGGATCACGCGAGCATGACGCTTGGGAAGGATACTTATCGGTCACATCCTCTCCGTCGCCTTGCTCACAATCTTTTGGTCGCTCATTTCATGCCCATACGGTCTCACGGTTCTCGGATGACATTGTAAGCCATATTTTCATACATAATACACACCTGTCTCCATGTTACGGACACAAATTGCGCACATCCAGTCGTAGGAATAGGACTCGGCCCGCTAGTTTGCGAACTGGGACGTGAAACTACCGAGCAAGAGGTATTGCTGCCACTACTTCACTATACAAAACGCATTCAACCGTGATATACAGAACTACACATTGGGGCCCTTCCGACGCTTCGCGGCAGAGTCCTCGTTCTTTCCCTGCTTCCGCTTCGTAGAGTTCATCTGCGCTGAGCTACGCAGGCTGGGGTCGGCGACGACGGAGGCGGCAACCTTCTTGGGGATGATGAGGCTCTTCGCCCTTTTGTCAGCCCCCTTGTCTGCCTGCGGCCATCCAATTCTATAAGTGTGCTTCACAAACTCCATCTTGAAGGCGCGGTGAGTCATCTTCTCACGGGCATCCTGGTTAACCATCACGTCGTCGGCTACAGTCGGTAACGCGGTCGCCTCCTCCTCAGTGGCAGCATGGGACGTGACTTCGGCAGGAGCAGGAATGGTCGACTGCGCTGAGGCTTGGATCGCGGCAAGCAGATCTTCATCCCCATCAGCCAACGCTGTGAGATCGAGACGGCCCGTGGCAGGAGCTGTCTTCGGCGACGTTTCGGGAAGAGCCTTGGGCTTGCCCAGAGCGTAATAGCCCTTGAACCACTCCAACACAGCAGAGAGAAGGCCGTTGATGGGGTGACTCGCAGGCTTTGCATTGTCGGAGCCGCTCTGCGTTGGTGTCAGAACAGACACATAGAAGTGGAGGAGGTCTTGCTTGGTTACGCCTCCGATGACTCCTGCGCCATTAGTTAACAGTGTCAGATCGATCTCGCCCTGCTTCACGGCGTCGTATTTCTGCGGACCGCAGGTGGAGCCGGCGTAGCTCTCGGAGTAGTCATCGAAGTATCGATAGAGGAACAACCCCACATGGTCATCCTTGATGTTGTGAGGGAGGAAGCGGACTGCGAAGTGTAATAGGACGTGGAAGATGGATTCGAGGTCGTCCGGAATGTCGACGGCCTTCTGCTTGTTGAGCAGGCAGTTGACGGAGAGGAATTGCCAAGTACCCTGCGTGGCACGTCAGCGCGATACCTCACATAGCAGTCAATCTCAACACCTACCGTCCTTTCCAGTATAAAATACTCTCCTAATGCGGCGTTGACCTCCGCAGGCTCACCCATCACGTATTTCGCAGCCAGTTCCCAATCATTCAACATGCCGCACCACACGCCGTTCTTCGACCTGCAGAGGAGTATATTGCCTGCGCTGATGTCGCGATGGATGTAACCAGCCTTGCACGCTTGTTCGTGCGCTGTGGGTACGCAACAGTCAACAGAAAGATATCAGCGACAAAGAAGTGAGCGTACCTTGAATACAATTGAGAATGGCCATAACCAAGTCGACACCACGATCGAAGTCGCTGAGCGGCTTCCCGATTTCCTTAACAACCAACCGGTAGTGCTGGTGAGACTTCAACGTGCATTTCTCGTCTCCGCGGACAGTAGACCAGTTCTTGTAGGAGAGGGTGTCTTGTCCAAGCAGATCACCGTGATATAGAGCAGTGGGGACATACTTGACCTTCGCGTGATTGAGTGCTTGCAACACAACACCCTCCTTCTGCAAGCTGGGGTGGTCGATGCGCCATGCATCCTTCAGGTACACGAACGACCCCGTAGGCTGGCCTTCGTCGTCCAATGGAGGCTTGCCAGTGTCGTTATCGAGAGGAAGAGCAACGTACCCGCGTGTGCCGCGGCCGGCGACACCGGGAGCCTGAAAGTGGGGCTTTCCAACGGCGAACCAGTGATCGGTCTCCGTCTCCTCATCGTAGACCTTGAGCTTCCAGAGAGGCCACGATTCGACAAGCGACGCCTGGAACAGTTTCACCGCATAGTCATCGTCACCAGCCTTCGCGCTCTTCTCCGCGTAGTCGTGTACCAGAGATTGAAGGGGATCGGTCTTCTCGATACGCACGGCAGTCGGATCGTGCCCCGTGAGCTCGGCGTTCTTCAGCCGGCCATAGCGGACGAGGAACTCGGTGAACCGTGCACCCTCGGTGGCGTACCGGACCTGTTTGGTGACGATGATGCCCGAGTGATCGAAGAGGATGATGCGAGCGGACTCTCGAAAGAGTAAGAGCATGTAATAGAATCTGCGTTGCTGATGTTTGAAGACGAGCTCGGCATAAGACAAAATCTGGCCAAGGACCGCTCGGCGTTCCTGGGCCTCGGGCTCGTTCTCAGGTTTGCGCTCATCGAATGGATCCTGGTTGGTGGAGTGCAGCTTGCATTCGATGCACAGGTCAATCCGAGACCAATCCGTGCGCATTGACTCGTCTCCTGCGGCCGTCTGACTGGGCTTCGGTGCGAAGTTTGTGGGGTACATGCCGCAATTAATGGCCCGCTTGGTGGTATCAGTCGAATCTGGCTTCCAGGCGGTGGTTACAAAGATTTGCCCAGAGAAGATACCCGATTGATTGAAGGCCAACGTCTGACTGGACATCAGAAACCCATGAGGTGATTTGCCTGTGAATCGTACTCACAAAGTGTTCGTACATATCCTTCTCTGTCTTGAACTTCGGGACATTGCTGAAGAGGTCAGGGACAGCCCGGTTCTTCAATTGCAAAGGCGGTGCGGGGAGGTATTGCTTCAAGAGCTGGTCGAGAGAGACAATGCAAGTTATGCCGCGCATGATATTGAGCAAGTCGAGGGGAATGTCGTGGTTCGAGATCAACCTGAGTAGGCGCCCAATGCACTCGCGTTGCCGCCATATGTGGTTCGGGACCACAGACCCCCACCACCACCTCGGGCCTTCTCAGCTGTCTCTTCGTGGTAGCTCAGCTCTTTACAATTCACTTTGAAGTTACGTCTAAGTCAGCAGTGGCAGTTCTGACAGTGGTTAGGGATACTACATCTTACTTGAACCCAATTGACACTCGATCTACTTTACCATCGTTTCGTCGTCGGCGCATGTAGCAATAGGCATTTTATATACTTAGAAGTGAGTACATAACAAGTCGGCAATTCAGCTCACTCTGGCAAACGGTGAACTGCAACCCGGCGCAATTGCTTACACATAGAGCCCCGCTCGCATCACTGGCCGCCCTTCCGACGCTTCGCTTTGGACTCAGAGTCCTTGTCCTGTTTCCGTTTGGTAGAATTCAACTGCGCTGAGCCCCCGCTGCCAGTGGCGGCCACGGCGGCTGCGCGCGCTGCAGCATTCTTCCCAGGCACGACGAAACTCCTCGGCCTCTTGTCAGGCCCTTTATCGCCACGCGGCCACTTGCCATGCCTATGCCTGACCTCCTGGTAGATCTCCTCCTTGAAGGCAAGATGTGTCATCTTTGCAGTAGGATCAGAGCGTGGAGATTGTGTATCGGAGTCCTGCATCGGCGCGGTGATGTCAGAGGCGGCAGTCGTTAGAGTAGTTGTCGCTCCATTAGCGGCGACAGAGGCAGCGGCGGCATCGAGGGCAAGCAGGTCTTCATCTCCGCCACCCAGCTCCATAGTATCCTCGACGTCGTCCGAAGGTCCGTCTTCGGAGGTCCAGTCCTCGGGCCGCTGACGCTTTGACTTGTCGAGGGCATAGTAATCCTTGAACCACTGTAGCAGCGTCGTAATGAGAGAGTTGATAGGATGACTTTTCACGGGAGCGCTGTCTGGAGTCCCCGGCTCGGCTTTGGACGTTGGCGCTGATGCGTAGAACTCGAGGAGAACCTGCTCGGTCTTTCCTTGTGCGTCCTGGCCGCGGGCCAACAACGTCAGATCGATCTCGCCCTCCTTGACGGCGGCGTACTTCATCGGACCGCACGTGTTTCCCGAGTAGCTCTGGGAGTAGTCGTCGAAATATTTGTAGAGGAACAGCCCCACGGCGTCGTCCTTGATGTTGTGAGGGAAGAATCGTACCGCGTAGTAAAGGAGGACATGGAAGATGGACTCGAGGTCGTCAGGTATGTCGACAGTCTTTTCGTTATCGTTGAGGCAGTGAGCCGAGAGAAATTGCCAGGTGCCCTACATCATACGTCAGCACCATGCCTTCGAAGCAGCAGCTAGAACACTCACCGTTCTTTCCAGCACAGGGCACTCTCCTAAGGCCGTAGTGTCCTCCACAGGCTGGCCTACGACATATTTCGCGGCTAATTCCCAGTCATTCAATAAACCGTGCCACAACCCATTCTCTCCCTGGCAGAGGAGGATGTTCCCCGAACTGATATCACGATGAATGTAACCCGCTTGACAGGCTTGCTCATGCGCTAACGTGGAAGATGACAGTCAGGACAAGGACTTCGACCAGTAATGGGATAACTTACCTTGAACGACGTGCAGGATAGCTATGACCAAGCCGGCA